CTCTCTCTCTCTCTCTCTCTCTCTCTCTCCTCACCCCCAGCCCTATCTTCTTGTTCTGTTACATAAATATGGGTCCCGGATACCGAACACTTGCAGGTCCTGTTTACACTAACCCCTTTACACGTTTTACGGGCGGCGCAAATGCTATCGTTATCAACCCTCCCCCAAAAATATTATATGCAAAATAGAGTAGAGGACACCAAGGGCGATTCTTTAGAGGGGAGGAGAGATAACACAACGGTTGAAAGATAACTATTTTTTTTTTCAAATTGCTGTATCACTCGACACACTAGACCCACCTCATACTAGGTTAACTCATAACACAAGTACTTCACACTACAGGTACTTCATACTGAAATCTCACACTGAAATGTTACTTATACTATAAGTAACTAATATAATCAATAAAACGAATACAACATATAGATGATGTTGGTGATGATCAAGATAATAATGTTAGGTAAACTAGGAAGAGCTCAACCAACTCAAGCTTGGGCATACTGACTAGCTGAACGGTTGACTGGTTAGTTGGTTGATTGATCGACTTGGTGGTAGATAGATAAAAAAAATTATCACGCGAAAATTTATGTGAGTGTGCGTCTAAGAGTCCAAAGACAAGATTAGTCTAAAAGCATAAGAAGAAATATTTCTGGGACGGTCAGGCCAGTGGGAAGGGTATGGGGGGGGGGTGAAAGGAGCGAGGAGGGAAGGGTTGCTAGGGTGGAAGGAAGAGTGGGGAGGGTGGGAAGGGTTACTAGGGTGGAAGGGAGGGCGAGAAGGATGGAAGGAAGGGCGGGCAGGGTGAAGAGAAGGGTAGCGAGGGTGGAAGTAAGGGTGGGAAGGGTAGCGAGGATGGAAGTAAGGGTTGGGAGGGTAGCGAGGGTGGTGAAGGTAGCGACGGTGGTGAAGGTAGCGAGGGTGGAAGGAAGGGTGGCGAGGGTGGAGAGAAGGATAAGGACGGAGAGGGTCTAATTCTACGTACCGTACTTGATTACCTACAAATGAAAGCGAGTGAAAAGATGGATTATGTTAATGATGACGTCTAAATTAATCGCAGAGATAATCGAGTTATACTAGCGCGCACACACACACACACACACACACACATGAAATTTCCCACGTCCGCCAGAGTTAACCAATGCATACAACTTTTTTTCTTTCTCCAGGCAAGTGTTGGGAAAACGTGTGACTTATGAACGCTCATAGATGGTCGGACACACGGACAGAGCCGAGATATAAACCCCTGAACTGTAGCTGGGGCGAGACGCTCGTAGAAAAGGAAGGAGCGGTATGCCGGGTGGAGGAACTAACGGTGGTGCTGGCCAGGTAACGGGACGTGTTCAGCCACACTCTCCCTCCTGACCCTCATGACACACAACCCCGTAACTACTGCAAAACGAATGTTGACCCAAGCAATAACGGAATCGCACACTGAAGTTGTTCGTTCACCTACACAAAAAACACGTCTCACATGGCGATTTGCGAACCAATATAACCCTAATGTGGCCAAATTGGCCACATATCGCCAATATGAGTCAATCATAAACATAATTTGCTTCCCGTGGCTATGATCTGTTCGGTGTCTAGATCGAGTATAAAATTATTGGGAAATGATGGTGCCTCTATTGCCCTTTGAGGCTGTCACTCTGTGTGCACGGCCAACCACACTCAACAAATCATACTTATAAAGTGGTAAATCTAATTAGTATCAATTCTGGATAACAATTTTACCATCTTTTCCCCAGATCACAGAGCCACGGTGTGTAAGGGCGGTGGTCACCTGGCCCGCCGCGCAACAGGTGGTCCACCCGCCCCAGTCTTGACGCAACGCACCACCACCACTCCCTCACTTGCCTCCCACACACATTCGCAGCAGCACCACCATCACCACTCCCCCATTTGCCTCCCACACACAATCGCACCATCACCACCACTCCCCCATTTGCCTCCCACATACAATCACACCATCACCACCACCACTCCCTCCTTTGTTTCTCACAATCTCTCGCACCACCACCACCACCACCACTCCCCCATTTGTCTACCACACACACTCGCACCACCACCACCACTCCCCCATTTATCTCCCACACACACTCGGACCACCACCACCACTCCCCCATTTGCCTCCCACACACACTCGCACCACCACCACCACTCCCCCATTTGCCTCCCACACGCACTCGCACCACCAGCACCACTCCCTCCTTTGTTTCTCATAATCTCTCGCACCGCCACTCCCTCAGTTGGCTCCCAAACACTCTCGCACCACCACCACCCACACATAAAATGTGGTGTGCGAATGTACCTCAACAGCATTTCTTAAAAGAGTTCGACGATCAATACTTTCCTATGGCACTGAGGAACCTTGAGGTTATTATTATTATTATTATTATTATTATTATTATTATTATCATCGATGAAAGTGACGGTGCGGATAAGGATAATATATATTAACTAATAAATATACGTGAGTCTAGTAAAGGAAAGGAGGTTCTCATAACACATGACCCGGTTCTTCAAAAACTGACTCCCACTACAATGCTTCAATGACCCAACGATCCAATGTGAGAACAGTACCATAGATCATCACCAGCTCGAGCATCACCATCGCCTGGCGTCCTCCCCCACACTTTTCAATGACTTATGAAAGCTACGCCAGGTGAAAGTTTCCTCGCCCTCTATCCGCAGTGGTGTAGTAATGGGGGACTAGTAACGACAGTCAGACAAACACTGTAGGAGGCTGGTGGCACTGCACGAGGCTGGTGGCACTGTACGAGGCTGGTGGCACTGTACGAGGCTGGTGGCACTGTAAGAGGCTGGTGGCACTGTAAGAGGCTGGTGGCACTGTAAGAGGCTGATGGCAGTGTACGAGGCTGATGGCAGTGTACGAGGCTGGTGGCAGTGTACAGGCATATGGCAGTGTGCACTGGTGGCACTGGTGGCAAGGGCTGGTGGCCCTGTAGAGGCTGGTGCTGTAGGGCTGGTGGCACTGTGGCACTGTAAGAGGCTGATGGCAGTAAACGGGCTGGTGGCGCTGAGGCTGGTGGCACTGTGAGGCTGGTGGCACTGAGGCTGGTGCCACTGTACGAGGCTGGTGGCCCTGTAAGAGGCTGGTGCCACTGTACGAGGCTGGCACTGTACGCGCTGCACGAGGCTGGTGGCGCTGCACGGGCTGGTGGCGCTGCACAGGGCTGGTGGCACTGTACGAGGCTGGTGGCACTGTAAGAGGCTGATGGCAGTGTACGAGGCTGGTGGCCCTGTAGGCTGGTGGCACTGTAAGGCTGGTGGCACTGTAAGAGGCTGGTGGCCCTGTAAGAGGCCGATGCACTGTAGAGGCTGGTGGCCCTGTAGAGGCTGGTGGCCCTGTAAGAGGCCGATGGCACTGTACGGGCTGGTGGCCCTGTAAGAGGCTGGTGGCACTGTAAGAGGCTGATGGCAGTAAACGAGGCTGGTGGCACTGCAAGAGGCTGGTGGCCCTGTAAGAGGCTGGTGGCACTGTAAGAGGCTGATGGCAGTAAACGAGGCTGGTGGCACTGCAAGAGGCTGGTGGCCCTGTAAGAGGCCGATGGCACTGTACGAAGCTGGTGGCCCTGTAAGAGGCTGGTGGCCCTGTAAGAGGCCGATGGCACTGTACGAGGCTGATGGCACTGTACAAGCTGGTGGCACTGTACGAGGCTGGTGGCCTGTAAGAGGCCGATGGCACTGTACGAGGCTGATGGCACTGTACGAAGCTGGTGGCACTGTACGAGGCTGGTGGCACTGTAAGGCTGGTGGCCCTGTGAAGCTGGTGACACTGTACGAGGCTGGTGGCACTGTACGAGGCTGGTGGCGAGGCTGGTGGCACTGTACGGCTGATGGCACTGTACGAGGCTGGTGGCACTGTAAGAGGCTGGTGGCACTGTACGGGCTGGTGGCACTGTACTGATGGCACTGTACAGGCTGGTGGCACTGTAAGAGGCTGGTGGCACTGTACGAGGCTGGTGGCACTGTACAGGGCTGGTGACACTGTACGAGGCTGGTGGCACTGTACAGGCTGGTGGCCCTGTAAGAGGCCGATGGCACTGTATGAGGCTGATGGCACTGTACGAAGCTGGTGGCACTGTAGGCTGGTGGCACTGTAAGAGGCTGGTGGCACTGTAGAGGCTGGTGGCACTGTGCAGGCTGGTGGCCTGTAAGCTGGTGACACTGTACAGGGCTGGTGGCACTGTACGAGGCTGGTGACACTGTAAGAGGCTGGTGGCCCTGTAAGAGGCTGGTGGCACTGTAAGAGGCTGGTGGCACTGTAAGGCTGGTGGCCCTGTAAGAGGCTGGTGGCACAGGCTGGTGGCACTGTAAGAGGTTGGTGGCACTGTATGAAGCTGGTGACACTGAACGAGACTGGTGGCACTGTAAGAGGCTGATGGCACTGTACGAGGCTGGTGGCACTGTAAGAGGCTGATGGCACTGTACAGGGTTGGTGGCACTGTATGAAGCTGGTGGCACTGTAAGAGGCTGGTGGCACTGTATGAAGCTGGTGGCACTGTAAGAGGCTGGTGGCACTGTAAGAGGCTGGTGGCACTGTACACACTGTACGGGTTGGTGGCACTGTATGAAGCTGGTGGCACTGTAAGCTGGTTGGCACTGTAAGAGGCTGGTGGCACTGTAAGAGGCTGGTGATTCTGCACGAGGCTGGTGGCAGTGGTATCCAAGGAGATGTGAGCGATACACGACAGTGGGGTGTGGTGGGGAAAAGAGGGAGGGAGAGACAGGGGAGAACATGAGAGCTGGAGGAATGGGACATTACAGGGAGAAGGAAGGAGGAAAGGATAAAAGGGAGGGAAGGAAGAGTAAAAGACGTGAAAGGATGGAGGGAAAGACGAACAGGGAAACGTAACTGGTTGATCGTCTGCAGCAGGATGGAAAGGGAGGGAAACAAAACAGGGAGTGAGAAAGGGAGGGAAAACAGAGAGACAGGGGGGGAGGGAGGGCGGGAGGGAGGGAGGGATGGGGAGACGTACCTGATTGACCGTCTGCTGCAGGATGGCGCACTTGTCGGGCTTGACAGAGAGCGAGCTCATGTCAGAGGCGATGCTGGCTTGGATTAGCTCGGCCAGCTCCTCGATGTAGGTGTTCTCCTGCTCTCGCCGACGCTTCTCATTAAGGCACTTGTTGCTGCAAAACCAAACAAAGAGGCAACTCGTCAACAACCATCAGTGAGGAGGCCAAAGAGGGGAGCATCACAGGTCAAAGGGGAAGAGCTATGACAAAGAGGGGAGAGAGAACACTAACGATGAGGGGAGACAGCGAGGGGACACATGGGAATCAGGCATCTTGATATTTAAAAATAAAAATGGAGTTTCCTGTATCAAGCCTCAGAACGAGTCAGTGTGTGTCAAGACGCTCTATTAAAACCATTTACGCAAAAACAATAGTTTACACTAAAGGATTACGCTAAGAGAAGAGTTTACGCTAAGAGAAGAGTTTATGTTAAGAGAAGAGTTTATGCTAAGAGAAGAGTTTACTCTATGAGAAGAGTTTATGTTAAGAGAAGAGTTTATGTTAAGAGAAGAGTTTATGCTAAGAGAAGAGTTTACGCTAAGAGAAGATTTTATGTTAAGAGAAGAGTTTATGCTAAGAGAAGAGTTTACGCTAAGAGAAGAGTTTATGTAAAGAGAAGAGTTTATGCTAAGAGAAGAGTTTACTCTAAGAGAAGAATTTACGCTAAGAGAAGAGTTTACGCTAAGAGAAGAGTTTATGTTAAGAGAAGAGTTTACTCTAAGATAAGAGTTTACGCTAAGAGAAGAGTTTACGCTAAGAGAAGAGTTTACGCTAAGAGAAGAGTTATGCTAAGAGAAGAGTTTATGCTAGGGGAAGAGTTTACTCTAAGAGAAGAGTTTATGCTAAGAGAAGAGTTACGCTAAGATAAGTGTTAAGCTAAAAGAAGTGTTTACGCTAAGAGAAGAGTTTACGCTAACAAAGGAGTTTACGCAAAGATAAGAGTTTACACTAAGAGAGGAGTTTACGCTACAAGATGAGTTTAAGATAAAGAGAGGAGTTTACCTTAGAGAATGGAATTGAATTGAATTGAAATAGTTTATTTACACAGAAAAACACAGAGTGGATAATAATAACAATATTAACATGGCTGAACCAGTTGAGAACCTGAGCTTACCAGTTTACAATAAGAGAAGAGTTTATGCTAAGAGAAGAGTTTACACAATGATAGAGTTTACAGTAAAAGAACAGTTTACAGTAAAAACAGTTTACAATGAAAGAATAGTTTACAATAAATACAGTTTACATTCAAAGAACAGTTGACACCCTGATTACCTGCGGTTCACCTGCACGTGTTCCCGGTGGTCCACCTTCCCCCAGCCACTCGCTCCTCTCACACAAGATTTTTACCACACACACACACACACACACACACACACACACACACACACACACACACACACACACACACGGCAAAGGCACAAATAAAAAACGGATGAAATAAAATATACACCGCCACAAAGAAGAAATTATTAAAAAAATTAATACTAGTTCACTACACTAACACCCCCCCCAACACCCCCACACCGTCAAGTTACTAACATCCACACCGTCACGTTACAAACACCCACACCGTCACGTTACTAACACCCCACACCGTCACGTTACTAACACACCCACACCGTCACGTTACTAACACATCCCACACCGTCACGTTACTAACACATCCCACACCGTTACGTTACTAACACCCCACACCGTCACGTTACAAACACCTCCACACCGTCACGTTACTAACACACCCCACACCGTCACGTTACTAACACACCCCACACCGTCACGTTACTAACACCCCCACACCGTCACGTTACTAACACATCCCACACCGTTACGTTACTAACACCCCACACCGTCACGTTACAAACACCCCACACCGTCACGTTACAAACACCCCCACACCGTCACGTTACTAACACACCCCACACCGTCACGTTACTAACACACCCACACCGTTATTAACACGTCACGTTACTAACACATCCCACACCGTTACGTTACTAACAACCCCACACCGTCACGTTACAAACACCCCACACCGTCACGTTACTAACACACCCCACACCGTCACGTTACAAACACTCCCACACCGTCACGTTACACCCCCACACCGTCACGTTACAAACACCCCCACACCGTCACGTTACTAACACCCCCACACCGTCACGTTACTAACACACCCCACACCGTCACGTTACTAACACCCCCACACCGTCACGTTACAAACACTCACGTGTCACGTTACTAACACCCCCACACCGTCACGTTACTAACACACCCCACACCGTCACGTTACTAACACACCCCACACCGTCACGTTACTACCCCACACCGTCACGTTTCTAACACCCCCACACCGTCACGTTACTAACACACCCCACACCGTCACGTTACTAACACACCCCACACCGTCACGTAGCTACAACATACTTCTGGTAGAATTATTTCCCATCCTTAATTAGCCAGTTTACAGTAGAGACGTCTATAACTACTATTGCTACTAATACTATTACTCTGTTGTTACTACCACCCAGTACTACTTTTTTTTAAACGTGGCCTCCAACATCTCCTTATAGCTACACCTTCCCCACCATCTTATTACCTAATTATCCTAATACAAAAGTAACTACCCAAACTGAGTTAGGTAAGCCGAAGATCTATGCGGCATTCGGTGACTGTTGCCTCAAAGTTAATGTCTGCGACTGTGTTGGCTTAGGGGCCGATGATCTCGTTCCCCTCAGGCAAAGCAATGCAGACCTAAGTAGAGAGGACAGGCGACACTTCATCATGGTTCCAACGGAACTTCTGGGCTGCTACTTCTGTTCAGATTGCACCTCGTCCAGTCAGGCGTACACGCATGTTGTACTTGGTCCCATCCCGCCAGATGTTGTGAACACCAAAGGAGTGAAGCTGCCATGATCCACATTTTGAATTTTCTTCGCATACACCCTGTTTTTATCGTTCTCGTTCCTCTCGTGTGCAGCCTCGAGAGAGAGGTTATGGTGACATGCGGCCATCGGGTCGAATATCCTGACGTCAAAGAAGGCTCGCTGTCCCCCACGTCCAGATTCCTCGAGTGCTGACGGCCACACGGGATTCGTTGGATGTGTTGGAAGTCCTATGACGGAGATTCTCACAGTTCAATGCAATGAAGGTCGGTTCCACCGTGACATATTTCCTTCAACATATTCGCTTTGAGAACCCTTACATCACCATACTTCATGCATACGAAGCCCCCCTTGCACACCTTACCCTAGAGCAATGGCATTTGTAAGTTCTTATTTGTTAAGGCTGAAGCCTTTTGCTCTTAACGGTAACATTGTTAGCCAGTTTGAAGCGCACACCTCCTGCGCTACAACTACTTTTTTCTCAAGTTCACCGACAATTGTTGCATCAATTGCTGAAGTTTACACTTTGGGTGTGCTGCCGTCCTGTCGTAATGGAACGTCGAATCTTGTGTAATTCGTTGGTATCCACCTCGCTTGCTGCATTTTGAGCTACTATGTACTTAATGAGGGCTGCTGTGAGCTTGACAGACTTCTGATGTTCAGTGGCAGCAATCTCTTCTGGATTAGCAATTCCCATTCCTCCCAGTCTCGGTGGTAGTGCAAGGAGGGACCTTTCTGCTGGGGTTAAATGGTGGCTTTTCACTAGTGTTGGAATAAAAATTACTACTACTACAACTATTAGTCTACTACAACAAATAATAATAATAATAATAATAATAATAATAATAATAATAATAATAATAATAATAATAATAATAATAATAATAAAAATAATAATAATAATAATAATAATAATAATAATAATAATAATAATAATAATAAAACAAATTAGGATACTGCACGCATTGTCTCCGTTTTAAACCTTCCAGGAAGAATGGAAAAAAAAGAGAGAGGGAGAGAAGCTCTCCACCTTCCCTCTTCAGCAACTTGATGACATCAACAATGGTGTTAGTCCCATAATGATGTGATAATGGCAACGATGATGATAATGATAAAAGTTCTATGATGACAAAGATGAATGTGATAACAGGAAGACGAAGAATAATAATGGGAAGCAGAGAAAAACAATACTGTCTATTAATGGAATACAATTAACACCTTGTACGCCGCCACAACACACTAAACAAGAAATTCAGACCAATTAAACTCTCTCTCTCTCTCTCTCTCTCTCTCTCTCTCTCTCTCTCTCCTGTCACGCATAATAATAATGGATGTCCTTCATGTTCGACGATGACCGGCCCTCGGGCCACCTATGTTAACGAGTTGTACTGTATGACCCAGAGTTAAGAAATAATCCAAGAAAACCGTACAACTCGCCAACTGCACTGGCTAACCATTACCCCAAACACAATCCGCCAATCAATTAACATTCAGGTCCCCAATTACTGCTAAGTAGACAGAGGCAGTTGGCGTAAAGAAACTTACACATAGTTTCACCCTGCCTGGGGATCGAACCCGGGACTACTCGCTTGTGAGGCGAACATACTGACCGTTACAAAACAAACACACACACACACACACACACACACACACACACACACACACACACACTACTTGAGAGAGGATTTGATGGTAGTACCACACAGTCATTCCGTTACAGTAATTTAATAACTAATTTGTTAAGGAGTATTGTAAAACGTTATTTCAAACATTTTAATAATAACCCTTTTTTATTAAACTGAACTTGCTTCCCACCTGTATGTAAACTTTTAACACTACGAGTTACTACTGTACGCAGACTAAATATGGTGTAGATGCATAATTTTTCTCACCAAGCTGTTACCTTCTGCGAGAGGTGTAATATTACTAACAAGCTATCACCGCGGGAAGTGTCTCCATTACAGTTATATAACCGAGATCACATTCTTCATGGCTTTAAACACGGTCTCAAAGTAAACTTCCTGCGAGTACCGGAAGTCTCACCACCACCCACCAACCTGCATTCTGAAGCAGGTTGTAACACAGTGGTCTGTTGTCTCGAAACTGATTACTCACAGGTTACCTAACATCATAGTCGAAGTCGGAATGATATGAATGCTCTCCTCCAGCCTCAACCATAACCTAGAGGAGTGGAAGACGCTACTCGGTACGAAGAGATGGTCGGAAATCCGT